ATAATATAATAATATAATAATATAATATAATAATATAATAATATTAATCATAATGATTCTTCTTCTTCTTCGAATATTAATGGTCCTGGTCTTAAAAATGATACGATGCATGAGGCGAGACGAAACAGAAACAGAAACTATGAAGTTCGTAGAGCTACAATCAGCTACAACTTACAGCGCCACTAGAATGAGATAGCATGATTTTTTCTCTCTCGCACAATTTCGACGAATAATGGCGGACTTCACGTGTCCAGACTCTTATTAGAGGGTCACTAGGTTAAATTAGTTCACAGATTCAATATTATAAAATTTATTTTTTGTTATATAAATGCTGCATAAATAAGTTTACATACTTTATAATGTTATAATATCTTATATATTACTGCAAAAGTACAATTTTTTCAGTTTTTTTTTTTTGTGTTTTTCAATCACAGTTTTCTATAAAAATGGAGTATTATTGAGTTTTAAATACTTATATATAATACACAGGTCTACGAAATTAATATATTGTAAAATTAATGCTATAATTATCAGTTTCTTAACTTTTTAATGTTAATTTAACTTAAATGTGTTAGCGGACTCAACAGTTGAGTGAGTGCTCGCTGTTATTGGTGTATTCTTTTAGATCATCCAATCAGAATTTTAGATCTGGAAGAATACACCAATAACAGCGAGCGCTCTCGTAGCGCTCTTTCTGCTGAATTCGCCCAATATGTCAGTCACGCAACTCTCTTAAAAGTTAAAACCTATGTCCATGCTGCTAGATAGAGAGCCTATAATCAGAGTGGCGCCATACGGGTATCACTTGTGATTGGTCCGCCATGTTTTAGCTATTCCCCTATAGTATACGTGACGCTCCCTATATAAAATGCGCGCATATGTGTGAAACGGAACGCAGCCTATATCTCTTTCTCTCTCGCAGAATTTCGCTAAAACACGGGTTATATCGCCACTCCGATTATAGGCTCTCTACTGCTAGACATGAAGGTGCTAGAATTGGCTGGAATTCTCGGACCGAGAAATGTGTAGCTGTGTGTAGCCAATCAACTTGTTTTTCCGTAAAAACTACTCGTTGATTGGCTACACATTTCTAGATCCAAGAACTTCGATCGAATTCTAGCACTGTGGATGATCGTGGACCGTGGACAGGACTTCAGTAAGCTTACGATCTGCGATAATATCACAACAGGTTGTGCTGGATTTGGCTGAATTGTGCGTGGAATCACATCACAAACAGACGAAAGCGGCTTCGAGAATTTCTAGGATAGCAAGATACTCCACAGTGCATGTAAATGTAACTATTTGAATGCGAGCAAAATAATCGACATGAAAGATATTAATGAAAGTGTGCTGAAGCTGGCAGACAGCATTCACTATGGGTAGGATAATTTTCACTTCCGAGGAAATAAAAGAAAAAGGAACGTATGATTGATATTCCATATTTTGCAGAGAAATTAAGGACACTCACAATATCGTGGTGGCTACTATCTCTGTGCTTAAGGAAATTATCAACAATACAGAATGGAATACAGCAAAGTATGAATTGTTATTTAAGCAGTTGTATCATTTATTGTGATGATACATGCCAGAGCACATGTTCATTTTGCCAAAATAAAAAACACTTTCCATTGGCTCTTGCAACTTACATTATTAATTTTGAGCTTGATTTTCTAGGGATTTAATGGATATTGTCATACAAAATGGAAAGTATCTCATTAAAACGCTTCCTCTTGAAGCATGTATAGGAAATATGGTAAGAAGGATATTGCAGATTATTAGGGAAGAATATACTTCAGAATTGAAGAGTAAATCAGACGAGACATATCCCCAGGAATCTTTGCACAAAATTCTTACTGCTGAGGATAACCAGCAGATAGATTTCAACGTTCCGATACCTTTCCTAAAAGCCTCTCTTATCGAACACATTAATGAATTTGAAACCGAATTGGAAACATGGTGAGTTATAATTATATTTAGATTATATTTGATCTGTTCTTTTCAGTTGAACTTATATCCATTATCTTCCTTTTCTTTCCAGGAAGAAAGAAAAAAAGAAGGAAACTAAATAGTATACAAAGTTCAGCTGAAAAAGAACAAATCTAAAAATAATGCAATTTCTATAACATAATGCAACACATAGTGCATTATGGGTATACATAGTCTATTTTTATTTTAATATTATCTTAAGTAATATTTTAAGATACCTTTTGATTAGCTTATGACTGCACTCAAGACGCAATTTCAAATATAAGAATAGACTATGAATACCGGTTTACGAGTACTTTCTATTAGTGACAAAAATTTTGATAATAACATAAACATTCTATCTTTCTTGATAGAATCAATGATAAGAAAAGAGTGTAGAACGATATTTTCACTTGTATCATTAAATGGGAAGCACTTATTATTGGCAATTTTTGGCCCAATTTCAACGTTTACTATTTTTTCTTATTGCTTGCATTTTAAAATAATTTTCGGCTCGTAATTTCCATTTCATAATAATAGAATTTCATAAAACACATTTCTTAATAGTCTTTTAAACAAATTTAATGTTTGTAGCTCAGAAAATATCACACGACAAGCATCCGAACATATACACTCAAACGAAATTATAATGACCATTGGCAAGTCTAAGTTGGTAGAGGAATTTTTCAAAAAAGCTGCTGCTACCAGAGCCTTCGATGTTATAGTAGCTGAAGGCGGACCATTTTTAAACGTAATTATACGCCTGGAGACAGACTCGAAATAAAACTAAAAGGAAAATACAAAACATCTATGAATGATTACAGGGTCACGAGATGGCAGTGAATCTGGCTAAGGCAAAAATCAAGACCACACTGATATCGGATGTAGCGATCTTCGCGATGATGTCCCGAGTCAACAAAGTCATCATCGGCACTCACACAGTCATGGCAAACGGTGGACTTCGAGCGATCTCGGGTGCACACATTGTCGCGCAAGCCGCCAAGCACTATTCTGTTCCAGTAATGGTTTTGCTGCCCCTCTACAAACTGGCGCCCCTTTATCATTGCTCGGGCAAACAGAATGGCTTTAATTGTCAAGTTTCGCCAACGAACGGCGTAATAGATAGTGCTAACGCACCATTGCTAGAACGGATACATGCTTACAATCCTGTGTTCGATTACGTTCCACCTGAACTTGTTACACTATTCATTTCGAATACGTAAGATTTAATATTAAATTTATTATACAGATTAATGTTAAAATCTCAAGCAATGATAAATGTCTTTATTCTTTCTTTTTCAGAGGTGGAAATGCGCCGTCCTATGTATATAGATTGCTTAGTGAATTGTACCATCCTGATGATTATGAATTATAACAAATTGTATACGTAAACTAATCATAATCTTTTTTTTTATTTAATTTGACCTCTATAATTTGTTTTTATATAAATTAACATATATTTATTCTTACATGAAAGAGGATTTGCAACATACTTAGAAATTAATCTTTAGCGCATTGCAATGGTTTATTTACAAATTATAACTTAAATATGAAATAAATTCCCTAAATGGGAATTAAATTATTTATCTTATTTTTATACTTCTCTCCACTTAATTTCAATTTTCTAATAAATTTTATAAAACTGAGATAAAGGATGTCACGGTCAGGGATTGATCCTAGGACTCGTCTAATAAGTTGACCGCTCTCGCAAGGAATCGTATGTCATCTCGCAAATTATAAACTAAGTTATGTACAAAAAGTGATCCCTGGTTTCTTGAAATGCTATACATATGGATTCCAATTACTGCCGTCTTCAGGTTGCAAAGAGTTTGTTACCAACAAAATAACATCAACTATCCACCACACACCCATACCACCTAATGTCAACAGTTTGCCTACTGCTGTCCCAGTCTGTCCGAGACAAAATCGATCCATACCAAGAAAACCCAACAGAATACTATACAGGAGAGTTGTTGCGAAGTATTGGCCACTGTACTTTATACATGGTATCCCTTCACGAAGGAATGTCCTTGGTCCAAAACACTCAATATCTGGCAGTACTGTACAGGATACTTTAGTCTTCTCCACATCTTCATAACGAGATCCTCCAAACTGTCAATTTATCGACCGTAAATAATTTATTATCCGTAAACATCTCAATTTTATACTTGTCTAATTTCAAAGAAAACATTTTTTTTATTATTTTCTACAAGTCGTTTTGTCTTATTTGAACTTTATAAATTATCCAAAAGAATAAAAAATTAATTATTCAGGGTATTTTCCAACAAGCACATAGTATAATAGAGGATACTTTCCAGCAAGAGACACAGATGACACAGAATAACAATGAATCATTACATCTTTGTTCTGTGTTGTCTACAATATCACCTGTGTATGTTATAGGAAAGTACCTATTGTCCTTGTCACAAAATTCCATCAACTACATATGTTGTACCTTGACACAACCAAAGCCCGTCTCATCCTTGGCAGTTTTGTTTCCCTTGTGATCAACCGGATCCTCGCATTCCACAAATTCCTTGGGTCTACAAGAAACATATTCATTGTATTATTTCATTAACAAACAGTCAATATTTATTTCGTTGGAAAGAAACATAGGAATTTCATTGGAAAAAACATAGAAAATGTCCACTTGAATACTCACAAGAAGTTACACATCACCAGTGGACCATCGGGTCTGTACTCCAGCTGAGGCTCGGTACTTTTGTTCGCAAGCACTAAACATTTATTTTGATCCCACAGAAGACAGATAATCGTAATAAAAACAAAATATAACCTCATTTTGCCGTGGCTGGCATTTTAAATGCGAATGACAACTGACAGTGATGCGAATTCCAACCTGCTTGCACTACTCTGTTCTGTGTCACAGCAGAGAGAAGAGAAGCCTGAGAGCGGCCATCTTCTTCTTTGTATTCTTATTGGCCATGTAGCCGCTCCAACGGCAATCGTCAAGGCCAGTAACAAAAGTCGTAATGTGTAAACGAAACAAAGTCGTAATATGTAAACGAAGAATGATGCAATGCCCGCGAAAAATGGCGAAGCCCGAACGAACACAGGGCGCCTGCGATTGCAACGTCGTCACGCCACTCTAACGCGCGTCCGGACGGACGAACGGGCCGAACCAAACGCGGACACACATCAGTAAGGAAATTCGAGGCACGGTCAAAGTCGGCAACACTTTCTCAAAAATATACAAAAAACGAACACCCGAACCGAAACGCGTCCGCACCGGTCGGGTGGTTCAACGAAACTTGAGAGCGGCCATGCCC